AGGCGCACGCATTACCTCTTGGAACTCCGCGCCAATCTCCTCCTCCTCCTCCTCCTCCTCCTCCTCCTCCTCCGCCTCCGCCTCCGCCTCCGCCTCCGCCTCCGCCTCCTCCTCCTCCTCCTCCTCCTCCTCCTCCTCCTCCTCCTCCTCCTCCTCCTCCTCCTCCTCCTCCTCTATTGGGTCGGCGCTGTGCCCCCCGGGCGGCGCCTCGGGCGCCGGCGCCGCCCCAGGCGCGCTCCGCGCGCCGTGGATCGGGGGCCCCCGACGGTGCGGTGACGACGCCCCGTGGGGAGTGAGTCGGTGGGGGCTCGGGGTCACCGCACGGTCGTGGGGCCCGGGCCGTTCCCCGAGGAGGTCTCGGGCCTCGAAGGTCCCAACAACAACAACAACAACAACAACAACAACCACAACCACAACCACAACCACAACCACAACCACAACCACAACAACAACAACAACAACAACAACAACAACAACAACAACAACAACAACAACCACAACCACAACCACAACCACAACCACAACAACAACAACAACAACAACAACAACAACAACAACAACAACAACTGTGCGGAGGCGGACCGCGTTGTGAGGTCGCTGGGGGTTCCGAGGTCAGCGGTGCGCCATCACACGGCTCTGGACACCGACGAAGCCATGACGTGGACAACATCAGTCCGTGACATCTCGGGGTCTCCGCGATCTGGCGGAACTGGAGGATGTCTTGGACGCTGCCGCCGTTTCGGAGCGCTCTGGAACACTCTGAAATCTTTCTGGAACGCGCAAGAACTATTCATCCCAATCCTCGCCCCGCCCGATCACGACACGCCGAAAGAAACGAACGCCCGCCGCGATTTTTTCGCCACGGCTAAAGTCGGGAGTCCAGATTTCAGCAGGGACAGACCGTCCCGGCATTTCTATAGGCCTACCACGAAATGTTTATAGAACCCAGAAACGTTCTAGGAACATAAGCCCTGTTCTTAGAACATAAGCCCGACGTGGTAAAACACGACAGCCCGTCAGAAATGTTCTGAGAACATTTTGTTGGAACCGCAAAAGCTTCTTAGAACATTGTTTGGTGGGCCTATAGGCACGCCAGGACGCTTCGCCACTGCTTGACAGATGGCCTCCTCCAGAACTGGCGCCTGGACCTTTCCTATAAGGTGCGTCCTGCCCGTAATCTTGGGGCGGGTCCAGCGGCCAGCGCGCCAAGTGGCCCAACAAACCCCAACACGGACCCCAAACAACCACAAACCTCGATCCTCGCCCTATGGTCGAGATCTGGGTCCCCCCACCCATCCATGCTCGCGCAACACCAATTCCTCGGATACGTCTTGGAGCGCCACCTGGCCAGAATCTCAAGGCGAGCCCAACCGCGACGACGAGGACCCTCTCAGATAAGCCCCCAAAGAGCCAACAAAACGTCGTGGTGCACCTTTGCTAAAAGCAAAGCGAATTGAGACAACCGCAGCTCAAAAACGGCCCCCAAACCCCTACTGGAATCCAAACGCACCAGGTGTCCCAGCTGCGTCAGACCGTGGCGACGAACCATTGGGTTCCGACGTTGCGAACAAAGTACAGCATCGTGAACAATCACGACCGGATCCCTAGACCCAATCCTCTGCGGCATTTTCTCTCGCCGGATCGATATGTGATGGCCCCGGAGCCCGAAACCAAATGAAAACGACCGGTGTGAACAACACTGCATCGCCCGGGATCTCAAAGACTGCCGTTGCCTTACGTCGCCCTCCTCTGATCTGTTGGATCGCCGCGAGCGCTGGGGGGGCAGAGCGGCCCCGTCGGGCACGCGCTAACCCTTGTGCAAGGGCCGGCCGTCCCGGCAATCCCGTAGGCCTACCACGACATGTTCCCAGAAGCCCAAGATGCTCTGATAACAAGACAAACGAGGGCGTTCAACTAATCGCAAGGCAACTAATCGCAAACGGCCTCGATCCGCCATGGGGGATACACGAGACATTTCGCCGAAACAAACGTCAGAGCGAGGGGTCAAACGGTCATTCACTGTCCCTGGGTGCGTGGCTGAAGTGGGATTCCGCGGTGCGGATTATTGTTGTTGTTGGTGTTGTTGTTGTTGTGTTTGTTGTTGGTGTTTGTTGTTTGTTGTTTGTTGTTTGTTGTTTGTTGCTTGTTGTGTGTTCTGTGTTGTGTGTTGTGTGTTGTGTGTTGTGTGTTGTTTGTTGTTTGTTGTCGTTGTCGTTGTCGTTGTCGTTGTCGTTGTTGTTGTTGTTGTTGTTGAACATTATTTATTCTAAAGAATAATTATTGTTGGGCCCCCTGGTGCGCGCCCCCCCTGCGCCGCCTAGGCCGCAGCTACATTTTCATCATTTTCGTGAGGAAGCCTCAGAAAAGAGGGTGTGTACAGGATCCGGTTGTTTTGTTGTAATCCGCTTTCCCTTGCAAAAAACAATAGAAAATGACATTTCTTGTTCTAATATAATCAAATTTCAAGAATCCCTTGCAAAAAATAAGGTAAAGTGGACATTCGCGCGCGCAAGACGAAATCCTTCCAAAACCTTAGTGTTCGCAGCGATTTTAACATAAAAACATCAAAAAACCAATGGTTTTTCAACAAAAAAATGTCAAAATCTCATCCCGCGCGCTCTTGCGGATTCGTAGGAAACCCAACACTTTTTAAACATTTCTGTCAAACGGGCTTTTGCGAGCAACTTTTTCGAACTTCTGCGACAACGGTTGCGCACCTGCCAGGGCCATCATCCCTGTCAAATAATACCATGCGGGACACATTCGTTTTTTCTTCGCGCGCGCACGCCGTCGTCGTCGGCCGCGGGGCCCTGAATAGTAGCCACGGTCGTCCGCATGCCACGAAGTGAAGTGTCCGAACGTCATAGGGCGGGAAGCTGGGTGTGGGTGGTGGCGAAGAGTCGTTTGGAAATTTGGTAGAGCTTGAACCGGCCCCCCCACAAAGTGGGGGTATTGCCCGCCTCCTATGAAAACCCTGGCACTGGTGAGAACGGAGTGTCCCCACGTGCTAGTAATTGTTGTTGTTGTTGTTGCTGTTGTTGTTGTTGTTTGTTGTCGCCGTCCAACCCGCAACCCGCCCCGCGACCCACCCCGCGACCCACCCCGCGACCCACCCCGCAACCCACCCGAGACCCACCCGCGACCCACCCGCGACCCACCCCGCGACCCACCCCGCGACCCACCCCGCGACCCACCCCGCGACCCACCCGCGACCCACCCGCGACCCACCCGCGACCCACCCCGACGACCCACCCCGCGACCCACCCGCGACCCACCCGCGACCCCCGCGACCCACCCCGCGACCCGCCCGCGGCCCACCCCGCGACCCACCCGCGACCCACCCGACCCACCCGCGACCCACCCGCGACCCACCCGCGACCCACCCGCGACCCACCCCGCGACCCGCGACCCACCTTCGACTCAAACCACGTTCAAGGTATAAAACACCATTTTCGGCGCCCGCGGTCGTGTTTTTTTTTTTTTTTTTTTTTTTTTTTTTTTTGTTTTGTTTTTTTGTTTTTTTGGGTGTTTTTTTTTTTTTGTATTTTTGTTTCTCTTTTTGTTTGGGGGGAGTGTTGCATTCCTTCCAGGTGGAGAGCCCGCGACCCACCCCGCGACCAAAACCGCGTTCAAGGTACAAACCACATTTTTCGGCGCCTGCGGCGGGCATCTTTGCATTCGTTTCAGGTGGAGAGCCCGCGGCCCACCCGCGACCACGTTCAGGTTACAAACCAAATAGTTCGGCGCTTGCGGCGGGAGGAGGGGGAGGACGGGGATGATGATGATGATGATGATGATGATGATGATGATGATGGACGACAATGGGAGGATGCTGATGATGGAGGCAGGTGAGGGGGGGATGGCGACAATGGGAGGACGATGATGGAAGGACGAGGGGGGGAGAGGGAGGACGAGGAAGAAGAGGAGGAGGACGAGGTGGAGGAGGAGGATGACGATGACGATGAGGACGAGGACGAGGAAGAGGAGGATAAAGAGGAGGAGGAGGAGGAGGAGGAGGAGGAGGAGGAGGAGGAGAGCACCATCGACAGGGAAGGTGGGGGCCACGAGGTCCGCCGGCTCGACGACGCCCGCGTCGCCCGCGCCCGCCCCCTCACTCTTATCCACAATTGCGGGGTGCTGCGTATGCGTTTTTTTTTTTCTTTTCTTTTTTCTGACGTTTGCGAGTGCGCGCCTTGCGAGTAGTGCAGCACGTTCGGTGACAAAATCCATGTTCTTATAACATAGACCCGATGTGTTTAAACAAGGCGGTCCCAGCGGTACATGTTATAATAACATGTCGTGCAGACAAGAAAATCTCAAAACATTCTTTGGTTGGCCTATAGGCAAGCCGGGACGCGTCGCCACTCCTCGAAACCCGACGGTCCGCGCCGATCCGGGTCGGCCAGGGCTCTGTGGCGAAGCCCCGGCAGCCGCTCGGGAGCCCACAAGCCCTGGGCCAGCGGAGGGCGGACAGAACACCTGGGCGACACAGCCCGAAGGGAGGTGCCCAAGGTGCCTGCTCGAATTCACATGCAAGCGGGCCTCGCAACAGGAAATGGCAGCACAGACGCGCCCCCGGCGTCACATCTGCGCCGCCGTTGCGAACTGCCTCCAGATGCCACCCCGAGACACGGCCACTGGCACCACCCCCACTTGGCCGCCGGCCTCAAGCAGCGGAGACCCGGCAGCCGCTCGGGAGCTCACAAGCCCGGGCCAGCGGAGGGGGGTACAGGGGGGAATCGGCCCGCACGTGGCTGCCAAGCACTGTTCCGCCAGAGGGGATCGGCGGACCCCCGTTCACGCGGACCCGCGGTCAGGTATCGGGGGCGACGACGGGGGCGACTAGCCCATGGGGAGAGCAATACATGTATCCAGGGGCGCCGAGGATCCGTGTCTTCGGCGAGGCTCCCCGGCGAAGGCGTGCAATGCCCGCCCCTGAGCTACTCGGCCCTATCGTCGCCTCCGATACGTGAGCCCCGACCCCCGACTGAGCGCCCCGCTCCCGGCCGTAGACTTCCACGCCGCTGTGGAAGATCCCCCCGAGGAGCGCGTGGCCGCCAGCCGCCGCGGCCTGCGCGTGGCCCCGCCGCCCGTTTCCGCCGCAGCCTCCGTCGCGGCAGGCTGTACTGAATGGACGAATCCTTCTTGGCGGCGTGCAGAAGGGGGTATGGCTTGGCGTGTCGCGGCGGCGGCCTCGGCGACACGTTGTGCTTTGCGAGCGCACAGCATGTCGCCCCGCTCCGCGGGGTGGGAGGCCGGAAAAGGCTCGGGACGTGGACGCCTGGGGGCCGCGAAAAAGGTCAGCGTGCCGCGCCGAGGCGTGGTGGGTCAGAACCGGCGGAGCGACACGCCAACCATAAGTTCGCGATCGTATGCTCATGCAATCTTTTCGTTGGCGGCGCGCACAAGGGGGGTTATGGAGGAGGGGGGGAGCCTTCCGAGAAGGAAGCTGCTTCTAAGAAGCGTCATTGCACGTCTTTCTGCTCTGCGCCTTCTCCCCCCTCCCCCGCTTCCTCCTCTCCCCTCTTCCTCCCGGGCGGGACAGGAGCTGCTCGTGCGGCATTCCGCCGTGTGAGATGCATTCGTGCGCCTCGCCGCTGTCGTCCACGCACCGCCCAGGTGTCCGATGCGTTGTCCCGTCCATCCGTCCCAGGCAAAGCGACGGGGGCTCACCACTTCCTCGAGGAAGCGCCATCTCCTCGAGGGAGCAGGCCCCCCACAGCACTCCAACAGCCCTTCGAAACGGCCCGAGCCGTCCAAACGCCTCCGCGGGCTTCCATCCTGGAACCTCGATCCTCGGGAGGAACGGGTTACCCCCCTTTGTGGTGGCCCCCCCCCCACACACAGACAGTTGAGGAGCAGCCATGGCGCCGAGCGGGCGCAGGGATGAGCAGCGCACCAAGTGGTGCTGCAAGTGGTGCAGAGGACGCGACGGCAAGCCGATCGTCAACTACCCTGGCAAGTTGGCTTGTCACTCGTGTCATCTGCCCGAGTGTGTGGTATTTATGCGCAAGCCCGACCCAAAGAGGAGGGATCCTTCCACTCGTGGGCCCTAGTCTTAGATCGGGCATGCCCCCCTACAAGCGGATTTAGGACAGATTCAAAACAGACTCGGAAATACTCAAAAAGTGGCCCTCAACACTATTTTTTGACAGTTTTTGAATTTTCCTCCTGTAGAGGGACAGGCTCGACTTAACCCTAGTCGCCTGGGACCCCGCTTGGCACTGCCCGACCCTCGGTCCTTCGCCCTTTTGAGGACACAAGCCTCCGCACGTCGTGGAAGAAGACCCGTCGGCGGCGCGCCCAGGGGGGAAGGCAGACGGGACGGGCCTTCGCCTTCCTAGCAAGGCTCAGAAGGGCGCTGGCTTCGGCTGAGAAGCCCTCTGATCTGCAAAGACACAAGCCGCTTCTCAGAAGGCTGGAACGCTTCTGAGAAACCCCGCCGCCTTCCGACAAAGCCGGCCCCCTCTTCCACTTCATCTCCCGGGCGCGCCGCCAAATCAAGGCGAGTTCTTGTTCGCCGTGTTCGGCGTCTGCAAGCCGCTTCTGCCCCCAGACCGTGAAACAAAAGCTCGGGAAAAAAGGCCCTGGAGCCCAGCGCGAGGGTTCGGGATTTCTGGAACCAAGTTTTGAAACAAATCGCGACGTCAGATCTTTGTTTGCTGTGTTCAGCTCTCCTTGCTGAAGAACAATTCTCCGTATCCTAAGGATGGGGTTATTGTTATTCCCCATCTCCAAAGGATGAGATTATTAGTGTTACTCCGACCGCGCCGACTCCTCACCTCCTCCTCCTCCTCCTTCTCCTCCTCCTCATCCTCCTCTCTCGTATGGTGGTGCTGATAAGGATGATGAGGAGGCTGCTGAAACCAGCGATGAATGATGTCTGCGACAATGAGGAGGATGCAGTTGATGACGACAATGATGATGATGATGATGATGATGATGCTGCTGCTGCTGCTGCTGCTGATGATGATGATGATGCTGGCGATGCTGATGATGATGATGATGATGGCGATGCTGATGATTGTGCTGATTAGGTCAGTGAAGAACCTGTTACTAACGATACATGGTAATGACGATGACAATGACGATGGGATGCCGATGACGATGATGCTGATGATGATTCTGATGATGCTGATGATGGTGATGGCGGTGATGGTGATGGTGATGGTGATGTTGGTGACGATGCCGATGGATATGATGATGAATGTGGAGATGAAGATGAATATGATGAATATGATGATGCAGATGATGATGATGATGATGATGATGATGATGATGATGATGATGATGCGGTTGATGTTGATGGTGATGATGATGATGATGCTGCTGATGCTTATGATATGATGCTGCTGCTGTTGATGATGATGCTGATGATGATGATGATGGTGGTGGTGATGATGATGATGATGATGATGATGATGATGATGCTGATGAGAATGATGACGACGACGATGATGATGCCTGACCCAACATCCTCAGCTTTCGGAGCAAATGTGGAGGATGTCTCGGGCGAGGCGGTGGTTATCGCACCCCGAGGGGAGGATGTCTCGAGCGGTTTGCTTGGTTTTGTGGCCAGACTCGTCTGCACCCAGAGCAGATTCTGAGGACGTCTGAAGACGCGCTTTCGGAGCAGATGTGGAGGATGCCACGGGCGAGGCGGTGATTTTCGCATCCCAGAGGGGCCCAGATTGCGAGGATGTCTCGAGCGGTGTGCTTGTGCTTGTGGCCCAGACTCGTCTGCGCCCAGAGCAGATGCCGAGGATGTTGCGGGCGAGGCGCTGGCTTTCGCATCCCAGAACGGGCAGAGTGCGAGGATGTCTCGGGCGGGTTGCTTGTTTTGGTACGGCAGGTTCGCGTCGTGCCGACCCCAGCGTTGGTCTTTGACACCGCAGGGATCGTTCAACCTTGAACGATCGGCCGCTGCCGCAACGTCCGATCGTTCAACATCGATCGATTCTGGGTCGCCGGCGGCGTTCAACCTTGAACGCCCGCGCTGGGGTCGCCGCTGGTCGACACGACGCAAACCTACCGTGGCCAGGCTCGTCCGCGTTCGGGTGGAAGCCTGTGCATGCTACAGATCTCCGTATAGATTTTGCTCATCCCCTGTGGCTCCCATCCTAGGTGCTTTGCGCGCGCTCCTACAGATCAGGCCTCTCCTAGGGCGCGAATATCTGGTGCTTTTTTTACAATGCTCATATATATATATGTATATACATTTATATATACATATATATGTATACATATATATATATATATATATATATATATATATATAAAGATATAGATTGCCCATCGTCTGTGGCTCCAATCCTAGGTGTTGTGTCCTAGCATCGGGCTGTCCTGAGGCACGAGCTCCTCACGAGGAGGCTCCAGGAAACCACAGGAAGCTCCATGGGGCCCCAGGAGGCCCCAGGAGGCCCCAGGATGCCCCGGGAGGCCCCAAGAGGCTCCAGGACGCCCCAGGAGGCCCCAGGAAACCCTAGGAGGCTCGAGGAGGCCCCAGGAGGCCCTAGGAGGTTCCAGGAAGCCCCAGGAGGCCCCAGGAAAACCCAGGAGGCCCGAGGAGGCCCCAGGAGGCCCCAAAAGGTTCGGTTCCAGGGGGCCCCAGGAAGCCTCAGGAGAGCCCTTGGTGGCCCCAGGAGGACACAGGAGTGGCTACAAGACTGGGTGTTCTACGTATGCTCCTATCGGCTGGGCTTCTCCGTGGGCACGAATCCTTGACTTACGTCTGTTCCTAGAGATTGCCCCTCTGCTGTGGCTCCCTCCTGCGTGTTGTTCGCATGTTCCTATAAATTTGGCCTCTCCTCGGGCACGTGCCCAATGTGCGTGTTCCAATGAAATGCCCCCCCCCCTCCTGGGGCTCGCACCATGGTTTTGTCAAACAACAAATTCCTGCTCAAATTGTGTTGTTGGCCACTCGGCTACAACCACACCGGCCTTCCTCATAATTTCATGGATCGCGCTCGCGCCCGAGACTTTATCGCCATTTTCGATCAAATCGTGCTCTCAGCCAGGGCCTTCTCACAATTTACTCAGGCGCTGTGCTCTCTCTTGACGTCCAGGCATCGCACACTCGCACACACGCACACGCACACAGCAGAGGGGAGAAGAGGAGGGGGGTAGGGAACCTGGTTGAACTTCCTCAGGAGGCCTCCCTTCGGCGTGACGTCGTAGACGTTCAGCAGCACGACTCCAGGGGCTGCCAAAGACCCCACCTCACAGGGGGTGCTTAGAACGGGAGGGAGGAGGAATCGAGTCGAATGGAAAGGGAAAGAACGTGAAAACTTCGGGCTGCACACAAACAATAGTCCCAACTGGCCTCAACAAGCCGGGCGAGTCGCCCGGCACATTCTCAACACCCTGACGCCGCCTCCGGCGGCGACCTGGGGGCCTTCCGCGTCCCAAGGCTGAGGTGTTGAGACCACCCCGGACTACTATTCGGGGGCAGGGCTACCCGGGGGGGCCGTCTGTGCGCAACCCGCAACCTTACCAGAGGTGAGCGAAGGGAGAAAGAGACGGGAGTGTGTGGACAAAGAACGGAGGACTGAATAACGCTTGATCCTCGGAGGTCGTTTTCGGCTGCTTCGGCGGGCCTCCCAGTTACGCCGTGCGATCCGACGATCGAGCCGATGTGTCGGGGCTTCCAGAAATATGCCACCCCAAGGTGGAACTGGCGTGGGTACTTGGCGGTACTTGGCCCCGGCGTGGGGTGCTCTCAAGTCAACAACAACAGCAACAACAGCAACAACAGCAACAACAGCAACAACAGCAACAACAGCAACAACAGCAACGACAGCAACGACAGCAACAACAGCAACAACAGCAACAACAACAACAACAACAATAACAACAACACCACCACCACCAACAACAACAACAACAACAACAACAACGCGCACTTGTGATACCCTCTGCTGCGCAGGCCGAGGCGCAGAAGCAGCAACCTTGCAATGATTGTCAAAGATACGGGCTGGCAACCCCAACGCACCATTAAACACCACTTGGTGATACCATTACCCCGATAGTGAGTTCGGCACCAACGGCGGGAGGTATTTGCCTGTCACACCGAACTTCACACTTCAATGATCAGTGCTGGCGCGCGGGTGCCCCACACTGTCCTGGGCGATGGAGGTGACAAAAGATGCAATCCTGGGGTATAGTTAACAAGCAAAAAAATGACATCCTCCCCCTATAACACACCATGCCAGGATTCCGAAGTAAGCCCACGGGCCCCGGAACGATCCACTACACATTCGTCCACGCAGTGGATGAGAGAAGGGGCAGCGCGCCCTGACGTCGACTAGACCAATCCTGAACATTCCAAAAGAGTTCTCGACAACCGAAAAAATATAAAAGATGGACCGTAAACGAAACAGGACTCGAAAGGAACGTATAGCACGCTTCCTGGCTATCATGAAGGGCCCCGTGAGGAACTTTCTCTGCACGAGATCTCGCCGGGGGGGTGGCAACCAAGAGAGGGGAACGAGAGGGGGAGCGACTGGGGGCGGGCACGGGATGGGGAACAAAAGGTGCTCGAGCGCACGGGAACTCCTGGGGACTGAGCCGAGTGTCGAGTAGGAGATCGACTACAGAAAAATTGCCCCCGAATTTGTTTGTTGCCAAGATCGCATAGCTACCGGACTTCGACGTGTGGGTTGCAGTTTCGACGAGCATTTTCGGTAACTCAATTCGGCAGTCGACCTGCTACTCGAGACAGGGGGGACGAGGGGGGAGCGACCAAGGGAACATCATGCGGAGGCAGTGCGGTGCTCAAGCGCACCTGGATGGGCAGCGACAGACCTCGAGGGGCCGACAAGGGCGGCCTTGGCAACGTTCGAGCGATGCCAAGGATCAGAGGGCGGATGGGGAAGGCGGGCAGCGCGAAGGCCAAGCAACTGCACCTGCACACGTTTTACGCCGCAGCACGGCAGAGGCAGCCCGCACGCGCGCTCGAGCGGCCGGGGGAGGGCAAGCGCTAATTGTCCAGCGGCAAGAGGGGAGGAGAAGGGCAACTGAACCTGCACACGCGTATCATGGACACTGTGCGTCGTTTGCGGTCGGGGCCTTTTGCATAGCGTGTCGGCAGCTGGTTCTGGCCCACCTCGCTCCGGCGCGACACGCTACGGCAGGTTCGTGTCGTGCCGACCCCAGCGTTGGTTTTTGACACCGCAGGGATCGTTCAACCTTGAACGATCGGCCGCTGCCGCAACGTCCGATCGTTCAACATCGATCGATTCTGGGTCGCCGGCGGCGTTCAACCTTGAACGCCCGCGCTGGGGTCGCCGCTGGTCGACACGACGCAAACCTAATCCGAAAGCCCTTATAACGGCGACGAGGCGACGATCGAAAGCAGTGCCCCGGCACTGCTTTGAACGCGTTCAAAGCAGTGCCCCGGCACTGCTTTGAACGTATGATATGATGATATGATGATGATTATGATTGATGATGATGATGATTTTTCCAGCGTACACTGTCCGCAACTGCGGCAATCAACATCATGCTCCACTTGCCCGCAACTGCGGCCATCACCAACGCTGCGCCTCGAAGCTCCACGGAGGGCGCTCGGCAGGTCGCCCGCTCGAGCCCCACTCGACTTCACGCTGAGGAGGCGAGCCCTCAGGGGCATTGTCCGCAACTGCGGCATGATCAGAGGGCCACCACTGCGCGCCATCAGCGCCCCATTCGCTCGAGCTCCAGTCCCACCAGGACCAGCCCTGCCATCTCGTGGCGGGACTGCGCGCCTCCCATGCGCCGCTGCCGCTGGCGTCCCAGGACCCAGCCGCCACTGCGGCACAAGAAGGGGTCGCATCGTCGCCGTTGGCAGCTTGCGGCGGTGGCGTGTTCCCAGCTCGCTCAGCCCCAGCGTCTCTCCCCGCAACTGCGGTTCCCATCTGGGGTCGGACGCCCTTCCCCGCAACTGCGGTGTCCGCGTAGCTGCCCTTCTTGCCGCCCTTCTTGCCGCCCTTCCTGCCGCCCTTCCTGCGTTCCAACCTCGCGGCGAGTCTTTCAGGTGACCTGCGGCACGTATTGTGCGTGAAAGCCACCAGAGGGAAGTGCGCTCCGTGCCTCGCCCTGCCGAAGGCGCCATGCCATATCTTGTCGTCGAGGTTGCCCTGCTTCACTCTGAAGGGATAGCGCACCCAATCGTCGCGTTCCCTGCGCGCCATCCTTTGCTCGAACTCCGCATCTGCGGTCAAGGATTCGCCAGATGGCGTCAGGAAGGCGCGCATCTTGTTTTCAACGGGCTCAGCCTTGGGCACGTAAGTCTGAAGCATCTTCCCAGGGCCATTCGTGTAGTCGAAGACAGGGAAAGACGGATCATGCTGGGTCGTCAAGAATCCGCCCTCACGGTCGTGCAGAACACTCAGGCCATGGTGAAGCTTGTACTGCCCAGGACAGTTTATGAACAAAATCGCCATGCTGTCTGCCCTGGGCTGGCCGCCTGCTGTCTTCCAGGGGGTCCACGCGGCGACGTCCACAGTCAGGCCGCAATTGCGGCACCAGGACACAAGCTGGAACATGCACATGTTGAAGTCCCCCATGCAGACCTTCACGTCCCATTCCCTGACGTAGGCGACGAACCAGTTGTAGAACTCATGGAGCTTCGTGACGCCCCAGTCTTGGTTGGCCAAGCTGTGGTGGACGTGCACCGCCATGACGTTGAAGGAGCCCCCCAAATGGGGCACGGCCTGGTCCAGGTGGACGCGCACCACCATCGCCCTGGAGTACTTGTTGTGCAGCTTTGGCGCAGGAGCCTCCGCAACTGCGGACTGTTTCTTCTTCTTCTTCGTTTTGGACTTCTCCTGCTTGTGGAAGAGTCTCGCAAAGTCTACGTGTTCAATGTGGCCGCCACTGCGGTCCCTCATGCCAACAAGGAGGGTCCCTGATGGCTCGCCGCCCTTAACGCACAGGTAGTTGTATTGAGTCCGACTCCGAAACCTATCGTCCGCAACTGCGGCTGCACTGTCCCTCGCGTCGTGCTCCCCACTGAGTACCGCGCAGGTCTCGTCGTCGCACTCGCAGAGGGCGATGATCTGGGCAGGGTTCGCGCGGAGCTGCGCCCACTCGTCCGCGCGTTGCGTGGGTCTAGCTGCAGTCCCTCCGAAGTTGGCCACGTAGAAGCCGACCCGTCCCGCTTCGAACTCCGTTTTCTCCTCCCATGCGTCGACAAGAGCTCTTTGTTTTTCCGACAGATTGCTTGTCTCGATGATGGGCACCCGTTTCCAGGTTCTCCGCGACGACAACACTCTCGGCATGTAGGAGTCATGTGCTGCCGCAACTGCGGCTCCCGCACCTCCCCGGGACTCAGCCTCGTCAGCGGAGGCAGCCGAGGACGCGACGGTGCTGTCGCCATCTTGCGTCCGCTGGTCGTCGTCATCATCCGCAACTGCGGCTTCCTCGTCTTTGCCTCCCTCCTCCTCCTCAGCGTTGTGGATGAACACCGTTCTGGCGAATCGAAGTCCACGGTCCATACTCCCTGAGGATGCGCTCGGGCGCGCGGGCGGCCACATGCTTGCGTCTTCGCGTGCGCCACCTCGAGCCACGGTGGCTACGGAAATGGATCGTGAATGGGCATGGGGTCGGATGGAGGGAGGAGACAAAGAGGATTCGAGGAGTGGCAGAAGGAGGGCGAGGACTCAAAGGAACCGAAAGAACAACAAATGGACTGGCGGAGAAGCAGAAGGAGGGCGACGATTGCAAGGGACTGTGAAAGGATTATTTTCACAGCAGCAGGAAGACCGCAACTGCGGTTTTGCCTCATCTCCTGCCCGCGCGGGAGCCGCTTGGAAAAACAACTTCCCTCTGGACTTCCTGTGGGTCCGCAACTGCGGCCTGCATCACGCTAGGGCTGGGATTACCAGCGCCATTTGCCCTCCCAGGGTTCTCACTGTTTCCGAATGCACGAACTGCGACAGCGCCGAACGGTTCCCAGACGCCGCGTCGTTCGCGACTTTTTGCAGCCACCCAGCAAACGTGAGCGGCCATTGCTCCTTGTGCTGCTTGCACATCTCCTCGTCCCAATGCGTCTTGAACCATGCCCACTCCCCCCTCTGCTCGTCTGAGAGGACGCCTTTTCCGCGAGCCAGGCGATCCAGAGCTGCCATCCTGTTTTTCTTGATCTTGAACTCCTCGGGATTCCACTGCGCTAGGGCGTGTTTGTTAGCCAAAGCCGTTTCCACCGCAACTGCGGCCTCCTTCTTTGCCCTCAAGGCGG